ACGAATCTGTGTGATTAATATAATGGAAATGTTTATTATATTGTCATTAATAACGCGTTTAACTCCTATTATTAAATATCGCATTTATTTTATTAAAATTTATATAAGTAAAAATTTTAAGAGTTCATTTTACCCTTTATAAATCAAGCATTAACCAATGTTAAGGACCTATCCGGTCGCCAAACTCCCAAAAAGTACATTGTTTCTTTCCATTTTTCGTCATCGTTTCTTGAAACAGGGCAAATGAAAAAATATATGGTGAAGTTGTGTAGTTGATGTGTCCATTTTGAAAGATCGATACACGATTTAAATAACTTCGCTCGATAGAAAAAAAATCCAAAATCCAAACTTCATCTTCATTCTACAAATTTTGATCCTCGATCTAGTCCTTTTTAGTTTTCCCCCTTTTTAAATTAAAAAATAAATTGCCGTTCAGACATTTTCCGTTCAAGCCTGCGTGCCAAGGAATGCCGAGCGAAACACGCGATGTCGTCAATAAAAGCGCTAAGCTTACTCAAATAGGACACTAATCTTTATTATGATGCACTAAACTATTCGTTGTTTTCTTTTAAACAAATTAATAAAGAAGAATATTTCAAACTATTTTAAAATATTTCCATAAGAAAATCTACTACACATATATTATAACCAGTAGTAGATGAATAAAAATAAATAATCCAAACCCTACATAGGTTTTGGCTTCAGATAGATTTGTTTCTTTGTTAACAAGTTACATGTTAAGTGTTTCTTAACACAAGAAAATCCAATAATTTTTTATAGTTTCTGACATCACGTGATACATTGTCTCGTTTCGGAACATAACTAAGACCATTCGCTTTCCTTACGATGTTTAATACGCTCGTTACGCACAAAAACGGCGCAGTACTGGGGACCTTAGGTCGGTTTAAATACCTAACGTAAGATAGGGTTAAAAAAATGTGTGTGTGTGTCAGCTACGACGCACGATTGGAGTTTACTCCTTACGAACGATAAAATGACGATAATGTTCTGTGGCTGTCGACCATTTTTTCATACTAAAGGTGGTAAGAATATATGTTTTTATAATATAAATGTTTGTAGTAGTAATAAAACGTACCTACATCATCTATGCCCAAATAGGATTTTCTTTCTGTGACCAAAGTTACCTTTATAGTAAGAGAAGAATAAGAATGAACAATCTTTTTAGTTTTAATTTCACTGACCATTACTATTGACAAAACTCTATGGCACGCTAGACAATCTACTTTTATTTTTTACACCTGTCAACACTGACAATGTTGTAACGTGGCTGTCAAAACGTGAATTCAAAATAGAAAAGTCTGTGTAATGTATTCCATCTCATTCTTTTACACGTTCAATCCTACAGATATATATATTTGTCTCTTTTTACATAACGCCTCAACTTTTCGTGTTACACTTGATTTTACTCCTCATAAAATTTCCGTACCGGGCCTTATAACTCAAATCGTTTCTTAAGGAGTAAACTCTATATGTTTGTCTCTTTCTACATAACGCCTCAACTTTTCGTGTTACACATAACGCCTCAACTTTTCGTGTTACACTTGATTTTACTCCTCATAAAATTTCCGTACCGGGCCTTATAACTCAAATCGTTTCTTAAGGAGTAAACTCTATATGTTTGTCTCTTTCTACATAACGCCTCAACTTTTCGTGTTACACTTGATTTTACTCCTCATAAAATTTCCGTACCGGGCTTTACAACTCAAATCGTTTCTTAAGGAGTAAACTCCAAAAACCTCCTTCTGTTTAACATTGTATCGAAATATCGAGTTACTTCTGTGACTAGTTTTAAGTCGATATGTCGTAAATTCTATAAGCTATTTTAACTATGTGTAAGCTGTACTTGATATGATAAATGTATTACGTTAGCTGAGAAGTTTCCTGGCGTAGGCGTAATTAAGCTAGGACGCTGACCTACTTCCTAACAGTCTAGCTGAGCCGACGGATTCCCTTGCTTACTACAATGTTCCATATTTGAAAATATATACACAATTTTTGGGCACATTTAAAACTTATACCATGTTCGTGGAAATTGTGACAAAACAACAATTTTGGCTGTCGTTACAAGGACATTAAAAAACAGTCACATATTTAAATTATTGTAAATTTTGTTTTTTTTTGGAAAATATATATTAATTTTAAAAGTTTTGTATTAACAACGTTATTTTTAATAATATTACTCTACTCCCCTGCCATTGTGTCCAGGGACTTTTTCTATCTCTAAAATTTACAATAAAACATGATACATTATACATATTATTGCCGTTTGCGCTCGCGAGACCCGCTCTTTCAGATTTGTTTGCCGTCTTTATATTTAACAATTTTTTCGCAAAACCGTTCCAGGCACGATCTGTGCTTTATTAACATGTATTAACAACGTTTACGCATACATAAACATCCAATTGTTTTTTATCTACGATTGGAATAGAGCCATAATCTTGGGTGAGATTCCAAAACAAGCCTTAGAGCTTGACTCTCGTATGACAAAATGAAATACATATTTTAGGTATATTTGACGTAAAGATGTTTAAAAAAATTGTACATAACGTATACTTATTAAAACAGGAGTACATTTGAAGTAATTTTTATTGGCATATCTCATTTACAAAAACACCGGAAGTGCCGGCATTTAGCGGAAACAGATAACATTTTTTGTTAAGTTTGGGTAGGGCAAACGCCGACGTCACCTGTTAATAGATACAAAGTATCATTTAATTGATGAAATTAAGAAAAATTTGCTACATTACTTCCACATCAACAATGTTAAATAATTTTATATAGACAATGTATTAAAAAAGGTTTTACATTTAAAAGACAAGCTCAGCTCTATTGAGAGCTCAGAGCACTTTTAAAAGGGCACTCAAATGCAATTTAAACCTGATTTTAATCTAAACAGCAATCTTTAAGTAAATAAATCGATGAGGGAGTAGCGTTGTTGGAGAGCTTTCATATCGAATTATTCCACTAGTTTAGCCTTACTGTAATGTGGGTATGCTGTTGTTTTACATATAATACAACAAATATATGTAAGTACTATATATTTGTGGTTATTTAAAACTGCATTCTTTTAAACTGCTTTTCATACTTGTACTAGAATGTTCCATGTTTGGTTATAGGCTCAAGGCAAAGGCAAAGGCTAGTAAGGGTAAAAAGACTTAGCGCAATGTCCACCGTATGTCAAAAATTACAGTCAAAATCTGTAATAACCGATGGTCGTAAAGCTTAGGTTTCCTAGAAAAGCGGTGCCGTTACCTAACGGCCGTAATGTAGCGTTGGGTGACGTCACCCATACGTTGTCTATTAACATTGGAGTAGGTTTCCTAGAGAACGTTGAGTGTCACCGTAACGTCAAATAGCGGTGCTGTCATTTGCATGACGGCCGTCATAGCGGTGATAAACGTTTCAACGTTTTCGCGTGTAGCGGTGCCCATATTTTATTAATACAATGAGTGGAAACTTGACTTGGACGAGCGAAAATGATTGTTTTTTGCATTATGTTAAAAAGTAAAGACGGCCGTTATTAACAACCGTAAAATGACGGCCGTTAGTTAACGGCACCGCTTTTCTAGGAAACCTAAGCTTTACAGCCGATGACGTTGATATTAAGTACCTAATACAATAGAATTCAGCCGGACCTTTGATTTTGGTCAAACCGTTATGTTGTTCTAAACGATGTCGTCGGAAACGGTTTTGACTGTATTACATTTTACACGTACATACATATTACACGGAGTCATAGTTTGCGAATCATCCAACGAGGATACCATCAACATTATATTTTTCCTAAGGACAAAACTGATTAGTCTCACCAACACGTAAACTCCGAATCTCCAATTGTAAACATTTAGCGAGACATTTAGACGGTGAATTGAAAATTATTCATGTGAAGTTTCGTCACTTATACTAGCGTTATTTTTATTTTGCGGTTAAGGAAGCTAGTGTGACACCACGATTTCATTTTACAATTGTATGTTAAACCTACAATATTTAAATTATCACTTTAAGATTGCGTTTTGTAAACCTTCGACTACTCGGAAAACATCGGGACTGTCTTTTTTTATACCATACAATCCGTAAAGGAAATTATCTTAGTCATTAGAATTTAGAGTCAAAACTTAAGTTTATAGTGAAAAGATCTACCCTCTGAAGTATTTCCGAACCAATTCGACATAGGGTCCTTCAAGAAAAGAGCGTACCAATTCTTAAAATTCGCAAACGTACGAGCCTTTTACTATTGTAAGTGTCCATGGGCGTCAGTATCTCTTAACATTACGTGATCTTTTCGCCCGTTTGCATCCTGTTCCATAAAATTGAAATGAAATGAATTCATTTGCGTTTAGAGGTAATATATAATAAAAAAATAAATACTTAAATGTTTAGACGGCTGCTTAACGACGTAAAAGGAGTTCCGTAATTTAACTTCATGCTTACCTTAAGCTGTTAATTAAGTAATTATTTAAAAAAAATATATGTTTATTATGGAACATAAGATACATGTATCACTTATTCCACGTCATTAAATTTGAAGGCATCCCTACTCATCGGCAAAGAAGACAGAGGGTGTAGGCCGAGAGAAAAAGCCGGCGTAAAAAACTCTCGGTACTCTTTTAAAACAGCAAATCATCAAACAACACTTATTTAAAACAAATATCGCAAATTAAGTAGAAGTAGCCTGTCTAGCACTAGTCCCAGGCCCTTTTATCAACTAGATAATCGGTGACTTTATAGTAAGCCTTTACCTAAATGCAAAAAGAAATGTCTAAATTAAGTACTTATTTTTAATTAGTAATATAATATATACTGTTATTAACTCGATAACAACATAGTTGCTAACAAGATGAGTTGAACGAATTCATTAAAGGGTTATTCCCTCAGAAACAAGCAAAGAGAAATCAAAAGCAAAGAAGACTTTGATTAAATGAATAAAAGTTCTGATTGAGGGTAATATATCGAAAGAATTGTCACCCTAAGAAGCGTAAATGCGTTCGCCGGCGACGCGTTGGCGGCAAGCTATTCTTGCGTTCAGTCTCGACCGTTCGTTACTACTGTACACTTGTTCAGAAGAAAATTTAATAAAAATAATGGGTCGGTGTGTTGCGTTTACCCTCGCCGCTCTGCTAGCGACGATTGACATCGGTATGTTTTGTCCTATATTTTTTCTAATTATGCCTACAGTGAAAATTTGTGGCTTTTATAAACAATGGCATCACCAGATGTTATTACAAATAGGTTTGGGCTGGGTTTGAATAGTTTTGAAAGTAAAAACTTTTTGACTCTACGTCTTTGATCTTTAGTGATTTTTTTGACGCTAAACTTGTTCGTAAAATAATAATTTCTCAGGGACCTTCATAGTTTTATTAAAATAACTTTTTATTATAAATTGTTTGATCATTTAAAATGTGAGAATTTTATATCATAAAACATTCACAACAAAGCCAAAGAAAGAGAGAGCATTTTTATATTTTATACTTACATTTTTTTTGTACTCTGTGACATGTTACAAACAAAAATATTTAGTTAAATATCAAGTGTATGAATTAATATAAGATATTTTATTTATATTAATTTGATTCTAATTTGATAACTTGCAAATTCTGCCGGGGATGTTTTTTATATTAGATTAAACATTTTAAAGCAAGACTAGTACACCCAGTTAAAGATTAAAACTTTTAATAGAGTAGTGCTATCGTTTTTTTCCTTTTAGTTAATTAGGCTACACTTAAATAACTCTACGTTGTTTTATTTTGAATTTATTTCTCATAAATAGTCTCTTACTCAGATTATTAGCACTGAGAAAAATAATATTTTACTGTCATAAAATAATGGCATCATTAAATAACCTTAAGATCTCAGTCAAATATTGTTACTGGTAAACAACACCTCATTTAACCACAAACAATAAACGATATCAAACAGTTGATGCCAAAAAATAATATGAATTTTTGTTGAAACCTTGATCAGCGCTGCGTGGGTGTTTTAGGAACTAGGCAAACATGAAAATTTTATATTGTTCTAATGTTCGTGTGCGTCTGTCATAAACATTATCATATTGTTTACTAGTCAAAACTATTGAATAGTTCGTCCTAATTGGTTTTAGTACATGAAGTTCCTAATATTACAAAATAATGTAAACACTTTCATTCATTTAAAACTGAAAAATATTCATTTTCTCTTCACTTCTTGCTACATTGAAACCTTTCGTCACAATGTAACTCAAATGAAATTTTACAGAAAGCGTCGTAAAACTAAATTTCCAACAATATGACTATGTAATAAAAGAGATTGAAACCTCCATGGCTGCCAAATTAGGGTGGTGAATGGGGACAGACGTTTTATTTAAAAGAACCCATAAATGCCAAGGGGACTATTATACTGACTACATTAACACGAAATGACTGCGTTTGCGCGGTATAAACAGCCCTAAAAAGCCTTGTAAGGTTTTATCAATTTTTTACCACAAATGTACCTTTAGCGATTTATTGGTAGAAACGCATGCTATCATGCGCGTCACGGAGGGATAAACAAAGTTTGAAACTCCGCTATTCACTTTTTTGTGTTTATAACATAGTAACGTGATCGATTTGATAGTTTTTAAATAGAATGTGTAAATATCAAATAACAAAAGCTTTATGTACCAATAAATAAAAGATTTGTGATAAAACAAGTCCAGTTCCAGTCTCTCTAAGTCTTATTGTTTTAACAATAGAAGTGATCATTGACGTTTTTTTGGTGGAAAATGCCTGTAAACTATCATCCTTACACATCATGAATCATTAAATGGAACTGCGTTCTTTGTAATGAAGAGACAGAATAGTACTACAGTAGATTAATAAACTGATTTACTTTAAATGAATTAGATAGCTTTTCAGTGATTATAAAGAGGAAAGATTTTACTCATTCACATTATCCTTATGAATGCTACATTACATATATGTTTTCAAAATTAAAAAAAAAACAACTTTGCGAATCCAGACTAGCTGCTAGGTAATATATGATGATTTGAGTGGACTTTCGGCTTTTTATCTCCCATTAGGCATTTACTTTTGAATAGGTTTATATTAGATAGTTTTAAAAAAATATAGGCCCACATCCTGTTATATTGACTTAAGACTATTAACACATTCATACAAGACAAATACATAAAATCATCGAAGTACGTGGACATCGCAATAAGTTCTCTGACATCATTCTAACCTTGAGTAGGCTCGCAAGCTACGGACCATAACCAGTTACACGTTGTACATAGTAATATACATTTAGATATATGTTTGGGAATTTCAATCCTCTCTTCTTGCTTTATTGTTTACATTTTTAACACAAAGGTAACTTAAATGAGAGCAACGGGGGCCCTTAAAACAATGGAACGCTTCCAGGCAACCCTAGTACGGAAATAATAAATACAATGGGAAAATTTACAAACACGATAATTAAAAATTTTATAATTAGGAAACTAAAAGGTTTAAACTTTGTATTCCGTATTTATAAAAATAGTGTTCTGGTTAAATTTTCAACCGATTTACTCAAGACTTGTTACAATTCAAAGCGTATGTTTGTATATATAAACAGCTCCGCCGGGCGTGGTATTCCATGATCTGTCGGTCATCAGTGTCTTCTAGAAGAAGAAGGACTATACAAAGAAATTAGTATTGAAATAAATGATTTATTTTATATAAGCCCGTTTATTCGCGTCAATTGGCCAATAGGCTTCTGCGATAATAGAACTATCCAACACAAAGCCTACAGTTAATAACGCGCAAACGCTTTATAATTTTAGATTCGGTATTTACAGCAGGAAACAAAAAATCTATTTCTTAAAATGCAACCATACTTTACCAAACTAGATAATCAGGTATGAGGCAATGAACTAGCACGTTTTTTGTCTCAACTAAAAACATTGAATTATGGCGTGGAATTTTCCATGATGTCTGTAGGTTGTTCTATTAGTTTTCCTTATAACAATAGTATATCAATTGTCTTACCAAGGTGAGCTACATCGTTAAAGATGAACTCACGAACTCATAACATTAGTCATGATTGTTTAGATATAGTGAAAGTACATCTTATATGTTCAGGTACACCCGAGTTTTTTTTTTGAAGGACGCAATGATTGATCTTTAGAACGAGTCATTTTACCTAAGAACTACCAAATCGATAAATAACAAACAATTAAGATTTTATAAGAACAGACACAAGCTATTTACTTACTAACCTTATTATTTACTAGTTACCAAAAAGGTTACAAAAAAAGTACTTCTTACAAGCATAAATAACTATGGCGGTTTTGAAAATTGCATATAAATATTGAAACATGATATTATTCCCACTCAGTGTAACATAATTTTTCTAATTTATTTACAACTTTCACACCACCCAGTCCTTAAAACTAGAGTCTCAGTTTCTTATCATCTTGACCTTGAAAGACAGACCAGATTCTTAAGTTCACGTCTGACTACAAATAATTAAATAACTTAATGTAACTTCTAGGATATAACCTCGTACCAATTCCGGTTAAGAAGTTTCATCACTTACCAGCTAAATCCATCTTGTTTTCGCAGAGAAAGCTTTGTTTTGATTCTTACGAATCCTAATATGATATTTGGATGTGAGCCAGGAAACTATAGAAAAAACAGTAAATTTCTACCACATAACTTACACTTAATGTGCCCTTGTACGATTAAGTATCGCTATTATACGAAAAACACCACGAAAGAAGTTTTTATGATTACATTCCGACATGAATTTATGACAACTTTACATGAAATATCAATGTTAATTATTGTTAACGATAATATCAAATAATCAAACACTGGAGAAACATAAAATGATGTAGAACAAGTACAAAGCATCCGAAAGACGCCTCATTGGTCTAGTGGTTAGTACCCCTGACTGCGAATCCATGGGTCCCGGGATCGATCCCCGGCTGAGACCAACATCGATGTGATGAGCATTTGGTGTTGTGCTTAGGTCCTGGGTGTTTAAATATGTATTTATATGTCTATCTATCTATAATATGTATATATATCCGTTGCCTAGTGCCCATAACACAAGCTTCACCAGCTTAGCATGTCTTTGAAAAAAAAAAGAGTAGGTTATAATTTTAATACCACATCGGGTAGTTACCATATAAAATAGTAAATACTTAAAAGAATATTAAAAATAGTAAATACATAAAAGAATATTTTTAAAAGCACAACTTCATCTCTATTTTTAACCGGTTGACATTGGAAAATGGCATCAATCAATTCAAAATGAATCATACGATTTAGTCTTTGAATACATTTCAAGATAAACAAAGAAGTCTAAACATTCTCCCATACTGCGAGTTGGAGCCTCGGAATAAATTACTTGGTATACACATAAGATCCTACTTATACACCCACTGAAGGAATATAGAATATATGACGACGCCTGGATGATATAACAAAGGCATAATTAGAGTGTCACTCAATTAAGACATGCCCGTCGTGCCCTGAAGTCTGGGTCCGCGCATGCTTTTACAATATTATGGTATTCTGTTTTAAATAGTGGTTTTATTGTTTATATAACATCGTTGTATAAGGTTGTATTATATTGTTATTCATTACCGTTCGCTCCATGTTTGCAAACTGTTGGAAATCTGTCGAAGGTGACACGTTCGATCATGGCCTAAATATATAAATGGACTGGGATGACATCACTACTCGTTTCTCTATTGAGTACGAGATTGCATAGCCGTTACATCTAGTGATTTGTTAAATTGGTACGTCTTTAATAATGAGAATTGTGGACATGCTTACATTCTAGCAGTTTTTACGGTCAGAGGAATCCCACTTCTTCTACAATCAATACTATTCAAACCCAAATGATGTGTGTTCAAAATGAAGAGAAAGCCGTTTGAGAAAAGGTGCTTGCGCTTTGTTTAGCTCGTCTTGGCTGCCCTGCCTCCAGCTATGAATAATAGGTTTTATAATCGGACAATACAGCGAACTTGCGTAATCTAAAAACAATTGAATGTGTACACTCCAATTTTTCCTTGCATCGAGTTAGTTGCTTGCTTTTGAATTTGATTTAAGCAAAACTCTTACTGTCATCAATTTAACATATTCAAGGTTTTAATGTTAGTGAACCAACCAGTATTTTTCAACTTCCTATGGCTATATCGATTTCGTGGTTTTTGTATGTACTTTCGGTGTATTTCTTTCCAATATCCGTAACGTAAAATTATCCACATATCACCTTGAAATTGTTAATTTAAAAAGATTACCAAGAATATTTAACACGAAAATTTTAGAGGGATAAATTTTTGTGCATTTTTAATAAACAATTAACAATGCTAGATTAGTTTTTTGGTCATGAGACATATTGAACCCTCGACTTAAGAAGGTCAAATGAACGTCTTGACATAAATTTAAATGGTTATGTCATGGACGCCACACCTTCATTAGTCATTTAAAGTAAAGAAAAACATGATATTGCTCGGCTCAGCATTCCATTTATATTAAATGTTTTTTTGTTTCTATACAACCCGTCATTTTTGATTCTATATACGTATCACAAAGGACTGTTTGTTGGTCGTCGAAAACAACCACGCACAACTGTTTCGACTGTGTTTTGTCTCTGAGAAAGTGTTCCTTAGATTTTAAACGCCCATAGTTTTCAAGCTGGGTGGAAAATCGTTGTGTCATGGCACCTTGCAAGGCACATGCCATGTCGAAGTTATTCGCTTCTAAATGTGTCATTTATGAACCTTTATCAGTAAATGAGATGTTTTTAAATATATCATGAACGCAGGTGTGAATAATAATAAGTTTAGAATCGTCATAACGTTTGAAAAAATAATTATAATATCTAAATTCTGAATGTACGTAAAATCTTCATTAATAAAAGTCGATTAAAAACAATAAAACACCTATCTCAACTATTTTAAATATATAATTTTTTATGTATAACATAAGTTAACATGAACATTCGCATATAATTTTAAATCCCTTTTAAAGGATAATTGTAACTTGAAATTATAAGACGATATTTTATATATCTAATGAGCTTTACAATTACTAATAATTCTTGGGTCAACGAGCTACTTTGTATTAACAACTCCATGAATGACCCAACACTGTGTTGTAAATTAATCTAATTTGCGTAGTTGAGTCTGTGACTAACAGGACAGTGACTGCTTACAAATGGTTACCTAGCATGTTTCAATTAGCGAAGTACTGTATACATGTAAGGATACCTCTTCAATACCTACAGTATACGTTGGTTTAAATGGTCATTTATTAACGCCCGAACCCAATAATTAATCCACAATCTGATCTCAGATTGCTTTCAATCTGAGATAAGACCGTGACAGTCGATCGATCTCCTAACTGCATCCCAATAACCAAACCCTACGAAGACAATCCATTTTTGGCGACGGATAAAATGCTCTTTGTCGTTCCATTTTACCGAGTTTTCACTCATATTTGATAATCAATGTAAACCAAATAAAGAAAATAAAACCGAACAAACAACATTAAAATATACATGTGTATGTTTAAAACATAACAAACAGTTTTTAATTATTTAAAAAACTGGTGTACCTAAGTTAAAATCTGTTAAAATAATTAACTGTTGAAATCGAGCTATCGTCAACTGTCATTTTCATACAAATGTCTATCCACAGACACCGATACGACCTCACATGGATAGCTTGTATCGACAGATGGCAATTACAATCCATCGATTGGTAATTGGGTCACTTGTTACAACATTTGGATTAAGATTACTATCACAGATGGTGGTTTATGGATTGAGATAGGTTATTGGGTTCGGGCGTAAGGCAAATAGTCAGTCTTCGTTGATACTTCGTCGATTTATAGGTGTAAGGATAAAGAATTCAGAGATAAGGTGTAAGGGAAAGGGTTATATAAGGGACACAGAGTAAAGGAAGACATTTGAGTGTGGTCCACGACTTAAGTGTGGAAGCAAGCGTAAATAGAATAAACCCCATTACTGCACAGGTGCGAAATGGTCTAACCATTCGTCGGTACACTACTATAATTTATAAAGTACATCGTACAATATTTCGAGTTTTATTAAATGTATATCACTCGGATAAACATAGAACAATATTATAGAGTAGAATCTCCTAAGTCGAATAAAAGATAAAGAAGAAAACGAAAGAAAGAAGAAAAAGTCGAAAACTCTATAACTCGATTGGTGTCTGCCTTGATGATCAAGTTATAGCGGTAGTGCTTTATTATCTTTAAAATGTCTTTCCCATTAATCGATGTTTCCTTTAAGATAAAAATTTGCCTTTACAAAAATCTTTAAGTCTGTTGTTGCTACGATATTCAACCCGTGATCATGTCACTGACAGACTATTAATATTAAAATTCAAATTAAATAATAATTAAATTGCGACAAAAACACGTTTTAACCCGTTTTGTAAATCCTCATGTACATCGAGACGTCATGTATTTTTGTAAGTTCAAGATCTGAAATAAGTATTCATAATATATTGTTTCTATATTCCAGGTTCCTGCCTGCAGTGCTACCAATGTAACTCGCAGTCTGACCCAACATGTAAAGATCCTATTGGGGGAAGGACACCAATTGTTGTAAGTACTTTTATTTAATGAAAGCGATTTATAGTATTTTTTAAATTTTAGCTGATGATGATATGAACTGTACAGACTGTATGATTTTCATATTAAAACATGGTCCTAGGATGAGATATTCTTTAATTGATTTGAATTATGCTGATGTGACTATAATAAAGTGCTTTATCCTCGTGTATATTTGGAATGTTCCAGCCATGACCATGCTTGGTATAAAGCACAATAGTCAACCCTTAATCATATCACTGGAAAGTACACTATTAAATTTAAAATTGGAATTAAATAATAGCTTTATGACACATAAATCACTTAGATCCGGTAGATGTTTATTTAATTTCTGACGGACCACAATGCGTACTTACGTATCTCATGGAAAATCTCAATTTGAACTGATGATTCATATCTGAACCAATTAACTCAAAAATATCGTTTTGATCGTAGATTGTCTCAACTGAAAGTTATGATGTTATGCTTTTAATTTATAAATCATGTCACGATTTTCCAGGAATTTAAACCAAATCTGGACAATCGCCAGAAAGTTTAGAAGCTTAATTATGATTTCATAATGTTTACAAACAGATAGACTATTAATATCTGTTGGCATGTTATCTGATTCTCGTAAAAATACTCCGTATATTTCAGCTTAATCCTTCCTTTCCAGCTCTTTTCAGATCAGTATATTTGTTATATATTATACAATATGTTTAAAGCGGACCCGCACCCGGGACCCATGGATTCGCAGTCAGGGGTACTAGCCACTAGACCAATGAGTCGTCAAAATAAAAAATATGCATTCGTAATAGTTGTAACTTAAAACATCCTTGTCATACCTTTAACTTATCTTCTTGTATACGATTCCAGGATTGCGCTACACAAGATTCGATCAACTACAACCGTGCATACTTGAGCCTCATATTGCCTCGCGAACTGGTCGAGGGTGTCACTGGAGCGCCGAGATACTGTCACAAAATCGTTTTCCGTAAGTATGGCCTAGAAATATCCATAGTAGGAAACGTAGTAAGAAAACTCAATTTTCGAAATGTGGAATAATAGAAGTATTCGTTACAAAGATACAATTGCAAAAATAAAAGCGTAGTGGTTATAATTGTGTAGTATATTGGGATATTATATCAACATAGTATTAGAAAACAGGAAGTCATTAACTCACTGTCAACTCCTATACAAACAATTCTGTACTATATTATTTAATCATCGTAAAATTTGAAATGTCCTTTCCGTGCCAATCGAAAAATATTGTTTACAAAAATTGAGATATAATATTCTTTGTTACACGAGACATGATTTCATGTTTAATTGCTAAAAAATATTTTGAACTTACAATAAATTTGTCCTGACGTTCCCACAGTTCGCCGTCTATATATCTCATAATTTTCAATTTATAGAAAAGCTAAGATACAAAACGTTTTCAGACATCAAATGAAACTGCTTCTTCCATCCATTACTTAAGTTAAATCCTACTTCTATAAATTTTACAGAAAGCGGAACAACAGTTCGTACATGCTTGGACGCCAACCCGACCGAATTGAACCAGACCTGCCGTCTTCTCGAGAACGCCGCCAAATCAGTTCCATCTGACCCCAGCAAGCAGCTCAAGCACTGCAGTGTCTGCGACAAGGACCGCTGCAACGGCGCTGGATCTATCGTTGCATCAGCTCCCTTAGCACTATTGGCGCTTGTCGCAACCTTATTGTACACTAAGCAATAATCTTTAAATAATCAGCAAGCAATTTGCCTACGCTTAATGACTGTCCACGAAAGCACTATTGTCTGCAAGTGCCAAAATTGAGTTGCCTTTACATTTTGGGACCGTCCGTTTTTGCTTGTTGAATTAACAATAAGTTAAAATAAGAATCAAGTATTAATTTCCTTCGTGTTGTAATTGTATCGATATTTATATAATGTATTTATTAATTGTTGAATATGTATTTCGTTTTTTTTCTAAGTACCTGTCAATGTTAATAACTATTCCAAATATTTTGTAATATTTAATGTTGTATTATTTTTTAATATAATAATAGTTTATTGTTAAACGTGTTTTATTTGATGGGAAGAACACGTCTGAAGAAGAAATTGAAGGGAATAATAGAGCAAATAATTCGTAATCATCTGTTTGCGTCTCTATTAACGATGGCACCAGTGGCCCTTCGATCTTGGTCACTTTCTGGTTTTTTTTCGTTGTTCTGTCATTTTCCATTATACAAAAGTATGTGTTTAATCTGCAGTCCGTGAAACGTAACCAGTTTGAGGTTTATTTTATAAAATTAAAGTAAATGAAACAAATACAGGAATGATTTACAAATCAAATCAAAATCATTTATTCATATAGGTAACACAATGATTTAACAGAAAACGGGTCAAAAAAGAAATATATATATTAAATTATGGCTTCGCATGGGTGGACATTTATTTTTTTTAAAATTTTTGTAGATATTTATATGTTCTTTAATATTGTGGAACATTGTTTTTGTTCTATCATCAATACTTTTCGCAGCGCATGCGATGAAAGATATTTTATAGGTATTTTTTTTACACCTTGGGTACCATTATTGTAGTGTTAGTGGGAATGCTTATTTATTCATGCAATTAAAATAACTATATATCAGTGATAATGTAGCGTTCAAATGGTGAAAGAATTTTAAAATCGGTCCAGTACGATTTGAGCCAATTCGTTACAAACATACTTATATACAAATATCTTTATAATATTAGTATAGATATATACTATTGTACAATCTAAATTATTAAGAAATTAGTCACATTTAGTATCTCATACACACACACATATGTAGGCATAGCACATCTGTGTGCACCAGCTATTTATATTATCTTTTTTCGATGGTAGGCATGGCATTTTTATTTATTTAATAAAACACTATTTTGACCGGATTGAAGTTATGTATTATTATAAATTTACAACTATTTAACATAATTTTAAATTTATCCGACGGTCAAAATAGTGTTTTATTAAATGAATAAAAGTTATGTTAATCAAAGACAATACATTTTTATTTATATTTATTGCTTTTTGCTACGTTAATAAGTGCATAATATTTAAAAAAAAATACTTAAGCAATCAAAAATAATGAGTAATGTATCAAACGTTGCAGATACTTACGTATATTTAAGCAAAGAAAATGCACTCATATTCAAAATAAATAGATTTCACAACGGTAAAGTATTCTTGCGTAATTAAGGAAAGTTATCACTTATTATCAAGGTCAAGACTGTTGTCCTACCGTGATGATTAAAAGTAAACAATATCTTGAGTTTCGTAATATAGATAAAAGACGGGACTACCCTAAGCAAAGGGTGATTATATATTTTTCTATTGATCAAATTATGTCTAAATTTAATATTACAAAATTCGTTATATACACAAATGCCTTTCCTAATCTTCTAAATAATTTTAGATTGGAAGGTTAACGTTAAACGTTAAAATAAATGTGTAGGATAAACGTTGAGATTTTTAAGAAAAGATTTAGTAGTATGAAGATTTTGTGGTTTATTTATATATGCGTTATTCATGTAAGAACATGGAAAGTATCTAAAAATTGGTACACTAGAGTAGCGCCTTTTCAGAGAGGTAAGTGAAAGATAGAGTACACAACAGACATCGAGGCACACAGAGTAGTAGTAGAACATGAAGTAACATGTAAAGACATAATATTTTATCTTAAGTACGTAAAAACACCAGTGTACAGATTTCTATATCTGTCTCTTGAGTATATGTTTTTTTAAGAGGCAAGTAGGTGACCAGCCTTTTTAGTCGAATACCTGTGTTTTCCTTCACAGTAGGTGATTCGAACGTATGACCCAAAGGAGGCTAATGGTATCACAGTATATCTAAGCAGCCACGAGTATTAAAATTCCACACCAGTTAAAAGAAATTAATAACTACATCTAGGCTATACGGAAACAAAACTATTAAAGTTTTTATCAATTACCAAATGAAGCTTTAAGGTTGAACCACGAACCATGAATATCGGTTGACTAATCAGCCTCATTTTGATCTTCAGACGGAGACCATCTAGACAGTAGACACTGTATTAATTATTTATTAAACGATAATAATCGTGCTTAGTATGCGTATTTAATTAGTGTGAAAGGTGACATTGTTGAAATGATTTTCTTTCTGTTGCTGACTGTAAGTGTGACTGGTAAGTAAAGTAAAGTAACGTAAAAGTAAAGTAACTTACAATACTTGTTGTCTAGTCATAAACAAATTACGTTTTTTTAAATTTAGAATTAATATTTACAGGATATTGTTTTGTTGTCATTTCATAAAGAAGACTATCTTATGTTATAAATTACACACTAACCCTTAGCCTCGGAAATGTTTTATAATTTTAATTTAAAATTTACGACAAAGAATTAAAAAAAATTGTGCGTGTACTAGGTGTACACACGTAAGAACTGAAACTTTTTTATGATCTTATTTTTCGAAAAATTATCTACTATATGCAACTTTACAGAAATTCGTTAAATTAGATAAAGTTTAACAAAAGGCTTTTATTATCATAGACATGAATACAAATATTTCATTTTACCTTATTACTACGAAGATTATTATAGAATTTCATTAATTGTAATAGAATTATTACTATCATTGAAAAACGTGACGATTTGCTACAAAATTTCTCCCATACGTCGATAAAGAAGTTTCATTCCAACGCCGATAAAGAAGTTTGACTTCAAAAAGCAACATGGCGCGTAACCGAAAAATGTGACGCGTAACGAAAAAATGTTACACTAAACTTTTTCCAACCTCGATAAAGAAGTTTCACTTCAATAAATTGTGCGTGTACTAGGTGTACACACGTAAGAAGTGAAACTTCTTTATGATCTTATTTTTCGAAAAATGATCTACTACATGCAACTTTACAGAAATTCGTTAAATTAGATAAAGTTTAACAAAAGGCTTTTATTATCATAGACATGAATACAAATATTTCATTTTACCTTATTACTACGAAGATTATTATAGAATTTCATTAATTGTAATATAATTATTACTATCATTGAAAAACGTGACGATTTGCTACAAAATTTCTCCCATACGTCGATAAAGAAGTTTCATTCCAACGCCGATAAAGAAGTTTGACTTCAAAAAGCAACATGGCGCGTAACCGAAAAATGTGACGCGTAACGAAAAAATGTTACACTAAATTTTTTCCAACCTCGATAAAGAAGTTTCACTTCAAAAACTAATTTAAAATATTTTAGACTTAACCTAGACTAGACTGAATATGACTAAATACTTTTTATAAAGTCTCAAAGATATTTTAATTCGTATTTTTTTAGACAGATAGTTAAAGTACAATAAATCATTGAAATGTACTTTAAAGCCTTGACCTGTGCCGTAAAAAGTTAATTATAGTAAGTAATTACTTCAATAAAAAAACGACCTAGGTTTATTTTAGGCGTTGACCGAACGACTGTCTATATTTTGTTCATGATACCCAGTTATTTATTTACTTAGATGTGCAACTGATATTTGATACTTGTATCATTTTAGGTATTAAAAATATTATGTTCCGTTAAATCATTTGTTCAACCTATTCCCCAGTATTATCACAGCGTCACTGCCGCTGATGTTTATTCTAAATGTTAATATGTCAAAAAAAAAGTCGAACCATAAACAATTAAATTGTCTTTGACCATATCTTATTGCACGCTCGTAATTGGATCTAAAGATCATCTAGAGACTTAGATAAATATGGAATAAATACTCATATATTTTCTTTAAAGAAGTTTTACTCAAATGTAAACAAACAATCCTAGACTGATAAATTATTTCGAAGTTATACTTTTCTTCTTAACAAGTATGCTATAAAAACTGTGTAAATTACAACGTGGCCACGAACTAAAAAGTACAGAAATAGAAAATATTAATTTGTTTGCCCAAGCGGTTATTTCCCCTGTATTAGGTAATTATTCATTTCTATGCATTTTATCTTATCTTAATATCCCATATTAATTAGTAAGTTATGTTTTATAGTACAGTACTTGAGGAAGATAATGAGTAATGATTACGAAGAATGTAGGTTTTTATAAATTCTTTATGGGACAGACCTTGGCCGATATTATAGTATTGGGTAAAACATGCTGAGTTTCTTGCTTTCTTGGTAGTTTTGCGAACGGATGGCGTAGTCTTGCTCTTTCGCGAATTTTGTAAATGTTTTTGACATTCATAAGCTGCCCTAAGACGCATCTGAATTGAATAAACGTATTTTGATTTGATTGATAGAAATTAAATTGCGACAGTTTGTTACGATTTTATGTCTACACCGCTGAAGCAAACCCTTATAGTTAGTTACATTTCGTAATAATTGCATGAATATAAACTTTCATATCAAGGAAATCAAAATTATAATAAACAAATTTTGAATATTCAAATATTTTATTTGCATACTATATAATTAACCTATTATATTTTTTCTAAGGATAAGATTTTAAGTTGAGACTTAGGTTTTAGAAGAGAGCTTCTTAAACTCACCCTAAGTGTAACTCCAGTTTGTCAAATACGTATTCGTATACGATATGTAAGCATCTGGATGAAATATTCAAACCAACCACTCCTTTACGTCAAGTCTATTACGTTGTAATTATTTATTTCCTATATACGTAAGCCATAGCAAATATAATTTTTGGAATCATTTTAGCATGGATAATCTTTTTACACTGCGTTTACGTTTCTATCTAGATTTCATTGATAAGGCCTAAGTGTCCAATTGATATAAGACAACCAAGTGTTCTCATCATTACAGTATCTATCTTTGCATCGAGTGGTCATTCCTATGAGATATTTTTTTTTTTAAATTTTCATCAAAAAAGTGTTAGTGCAAGAGCAATGTCATTAACAAAAACATTTATTTATTTTGTATTTTTCACTTACTGTCTTATAAGTGTCAGTTGTGACTGTGAGTATAGTTTGGAGTGCTTTTTAAATGTATTTTAAAATTTAACAAAATTTGTTAAGTGGTTTAATAGAGATCTTAGTTAGTACCGCCGTTTAATGCGTATTAACCAAACGTCCTGGGGTCATTGTTTCGGTTGGAAAGACACTGAAGGCTACCTTAATGCCTATTAAAAAACTAATTAGTAAACAAACGCAGGACGCTTGCGGATTATGATAAATTACTGTCATATATTGTTAATTTGTTAAAAACTTTATATAAATAATGATTTTTTTTTTATTTCAGCGGATTTGCAATGTTATGTATGCACCGACTGTGAGTTTAATTATGAGGGTACGGCAACGACTTGTGAAGACATTCTACTAACAACTGTTACACCTGACGAATCAATAACTAATATAGGAGAAACATATACTACAGACAATGGAAATAACGATGAGACTACACAGCCAACAGATACATCGTATATTTCTACGACCGAAGAAACCGCACGCACTGAAATACCAGAAACCACAACTCATGTAACAGTATTTACAACTGAAAATGCTGCAAACCTTAAACCGAAGACCACGAACCCTCCCTTTGAGATAACGACAAAATTCTCTCCGCCAATAGAAACTTCTAGTATTCCAGTATCTACTGAAACAACCAGTAATAAATATGTCAGTACAGAATCTACATTAAAACCTACAAAAACTGAAACCACTACAGAAATTCCTACAACGGATATTTCCTCAACTATCTCAACGCTTTCGTCAACGATAGAAGCTTTGGGTACGACTACCTTAGGTATCAATACCAAAACTACACAAACAGAAGGTTTAGAAAGTACTGTAACACCTTTAATTACTAGCACTCTATCAGAAGCTGAAATTTTTATTACAACTACAGAACCCAGTGTGATTACATCGAAAACGTCTACCTTAAGTAGCAACACCAAAACTACACAAACAGACGGTCTAGAAAGTACTGTAACACCTATAATTACTAGCACTCTTTCAGAAGCTGAAATTTTCATTACAACTACAGAACCCAGTGTGACTACATCGAAAACGTCTACCTTAGGTAGCAACACCAAAACTACACAACCAGAAGTTCTAGAAAGTACTGTAACACCTGTAATTACTAGCACAATTTCAGAAGCTGAAATTGTTATTACAACTACAGAACCCAGTGTGACTACATCGAAAACGACTACCTTAGGTAGCACTACCAAAACTACACAAAAAGAAGGTCTAGAAAGTACTGTAACACCTATAAATACTAGCACTCTTTCAGAAGCTGAAATTTTTATTACAACTACAGAACCAAGTGTGACTACATCGACAACGACTACCTTAGGTAGCAATACCAAAACTTCACCAACAGATGGTCTAGAAAATAGTGTAACGCCTGTTATAACTAGCACTGCTGCAGAAAGTATTATTTCCACTACAGAACCCACTGTGACTACTTCGGGAGGAAGTAACTTTGTAACTAAAGTTGATAACGCAATCAATGGTCCTATAAAAATTAAAGATCAAGATAAACAAAGCAATACAGTAACGTCCACGGAGACTTCAACCATTATCCCTTCTACTTTCAGTACTGTAGCTTTAGGACCTACTACAGACACATCTATGACTACGTCTGAGAGCTTACCTTCAACGACAGACGCTTCGAGTACTACTTACATGGGTACAGAAGGGTCGTTAGAAACCGGAACACCAGAAACTTCTATATTACCAACTACCACCAAACCCTCATCGCAAACCGCTACACAATCTACTACGAATGGTGAATTAGGATCTTCAATGGTTACAAATTTAAGGGATAACGAACCAAATGATATGGTATGTTGGCTCAAAGAATTTGTTCTTTTTGTTTTAATTTTTATATCATATTTAATTCTTTTACTTTTTATTTTTTAGATGATCGATGATACTAAGAAGTACGGTTCGAGGTACAGGTTTATAAGGGCAGCTCAAGCGAAGCAAGATGCGAAACCTAAGCCCCGCTGTATTGTTACTGCTTATCAAGGTTTATTATCAATAGTCTTTTTGAATTACTATTTATAATTTTATATGGTATACTATGTATACTAAACATAGAATTAAATTAGGTGGATTACCTAAGGGTAGTGCATTATTAAGACAAAGTAGTACACTAACTCTTTTAAATTTAACAAGTAGCAATTGCCTAGCAGTAAATATACAAAAACAAAAGGATTTATTACTTTCGGCACTGCTAAAAACATATTTAAATTTTTTAAATTTACGCGCAGTAAATACCTATTAAAGAATACATTGTTTCCATAGCTATCGGCAAATAAAAAGTATATTTTTGAATACCTGAGTAGATGTAAAGAAAGATTATATAATAGCTAATGCTAAGAAAATATTATGTGCCCATTCCATATATTTTGAAAACATTTCCCTATGTAGGCATGATGTAATCTCGTAGCGAAGATCCAATCCAGCGAAACAATAATTGATTCAGGTTGAAAAGGAACATTACTAGATTTATAGGTATTCTATGAATAAGAGGGAAAGTTGCTTATAAATGGTAAAGGGACTATACTCACATGAAACATATAGTTTTTTTGCTTATTACATTTGTGTCACTTCTCAAATAAATAAACGGGACAAAACATTAAATTAATCTTAATAAACGTACGTTTATTACTTTAGCCTAAATGTACTCGGGGCCTTTAGTCGGGTAGAAGGTGGGCAAAGTATCAACGATACAAGATTACCCATTCATTACAACAGTCTTTTGTCTTTTCAGAACACAATAAAACAATAGTGGTGCGTGGCTGTTCATTTGGAAAAGAAGAAGAGAAATGCAATTCGGTGTTAGACGGAAGAGTTAAGATTAATAATAGCAAATGTTTTGTCTGTAACACTAATCTTTGTAATTCAGCATCAACTTCTATCGTCTCTGCTTTTATTCTTATAGCAATGATTTTGATTGTTCTTTAACTTTCCCGCAAGTGAATTTTAGATTAGGCGCCATGAACGTTGAGCTCTGAAGGAAAAATACATACGTTTTTTAAGAGTCAGTTTAAAGTGTATTATTTACATAGATTTTTGTATATATTTGTATTTCATGCATTAAGGTTTTCCTGCGGATATTTTACAGCTCATCACACTCATGGCGTCACTAAAATTTAAATAACAGTATTATATTAATAACACGAAAGATGTGGTACCGTCTTAGTTTATAAATGTAAATAAACTTATTTATTATACCAACTTTCATTTATATTTTCACACGTGCAAGTATGTACACAATAATTAATTTCATTTTATTTAATTATAAGTTCTAAAACAACGTGTATGCTTAAAATTATACAAGAAAAGATGACAAACATACACATATACACGTCAATACAAGAACATAGCAAGGGAAATAATTAAACAAGCAACCACAAACAAAAACTAAAAAATAATAACTAAAATTATAATAATAAACGAAAACTTTGATACTATAAATAGATTCATCTTTTAATTTCAGTCAATAATTATGTAACTTTGTTTAAATTAGCTATAATTATCTCCCAGTAACATAGACTCAATTAATATACCTAACATTAATAAACCTAATCCTAAAGTATAACAATAACAAATATGTAGAAAAACTGTCAACTAATGTTGACTAAGGTTTTTCTAAACTTTTGACTTTCCAAAGTGAAATTTAATTTAAAAAAAGTGCGTGCGTTCAAAGTACACATGTCAGAAGTGAAACTTCTTTGGCAAACTAATTTTTAAGCTTGGTCATATTTATACTAATCTGAAACTTTAGATTTCCGAGACTTAGAAGGAGGGGAAAGGAAAGATATGTTAGGAATTTAATCAATTTAATTGTCATTAAAATATTTAAAGTATCGAAAATTAATACAAAATACATTTATTTCTTCGAAAATAAAAATAAGTGGCATTTTAATGTCAATTCGTCATTTGAGATTTCAATAAATTATTTTGCATAAAATATAAAATTTTAATTTTAAAAATATAATTTCTATAAGGTAATTCGCCCTTCTCACTCTCTCTCAATCGGTCTCAATCGCTCTCTCTCTCTTTTCTTCCACAAAAACGCTGCACATCTTCGTGACGCTAATATTATTGAAGTGAAACGTCTTTAGGCGCCAGAGGTTAACATTTTTACGGATGAAACGCAATAATAAAAATAATAAGAAAATCTTCAATTAGCGCCTGTGCACTTGAACTTCACGGCACAAGAGTTTCTACTCCAAAGGGAACAAAATCAAAGTTTGTAGGATATACACTTATTCTACAATTATGAAGGAAAAAAATATAAAAAAATTAAATTAGAAATCCGCGACTGTCTGTAATGCGGTAATTAGACCGTTGTAGTTTTAGAAGCGGAGCCTCTAAATCTTTAGTAAATAAGAGGATACAAGAATGTATTAACAAAAAAAGAAGCGCACGAAGCCACGCTAATAAGCGACCTCATAATTGTTATTATGGTCTCATGGAATACGTATGAAAAACAATCAATTTACAAAAGCGTAACTTCAGGCTCTTAAGCATAACGAATTTAACGATAACATTGTTTAGACATTATATAATCAATGTTGAAGTCCATTAAGATATCAAAATGGCTAAGATCACCACTTTCTTACTGCTTACGTGCGCTTTTGGATATTCGATATGCTCGGAATCTACATCCGGTAAGTTCTATTATTTACTATTAAACACATATTATTTAAAAAAAATAGTGTCATTTATTTTCCAAAAAATATATAATATGTAATAAATAGTAATAAGTTTACTTTGTTCTTTTGCATTAGATTTAAACATGATCATCATGAAACAGATTCAGAAATCTGAGGCCAAGACCTAAAGAGGTTGTAGCGCCACTGATTTGTTTTTGTTCTTTTGCAATAAATAAAAAGGCTTTTTTATTTTATTTATTATTATTTTGCACTCTCATTTGTAATCAGAAATGCTCGCTTGAAGCTCTAAGAGACCTGAAGCAGTTTGACTAAATACATACTTGCAATAATTATACTGTTTTTATCTAAAAATAATGTTACCGACGATTACCTTTACATTAAATATACAGCCTGAACAGGTTAACTTGGTACGTTGTAACTAAATATGTGTAAGTAAAAAATTTTAAACCAGCGCTTCCCAACGTTGTCTGTGCCATGCTTATATGAGAAATGCTTAGGGGCATACATACCCCTTAGCAATTCTAAAATTCTTATGTCACATACTTACATAATTTTTAATGATTTAAAATTGAATTGTTCACTAAAGAAACTTCAATGATAGGTTTTAGGAAGAAATTACTAAGTAAATTTTCAAATCATGTTATGAGAAAGTGACATTCAAATTGAAAATAAATTTTCTAATAGCCCCTTAGCAATAAAAATTGTCCCCTGTTGGGGCATGGGCCTCACGCTGGGAAACACTATTTTAAACCTTCTGAAACTAATACTTTCAATCAGTATATTCCTGGGCTTTATTATTAACAATATTCTTAAGTAAAAACAATAGGTAACTAACCTAAAAATATATCACTCAAAGTTTTTATTTACAATCAAGTTTACTGTATTTACCATTTTCTTAACCTACAAAGTAATAATAAACATTATTAAAAAGAAAATAATAATTGTATTGCAATACAGCGAGAAAATGCTGCCAGCGTTAAAGGTACACTGCCACAGGAACCAAACTTTTTAAATTTGTTTTGATTTTCTTTTTAATAATTTTTATCAGTATATTATATACACTACGTAACTCAGGGCACTTATTACAGCCGCCTCGGAAAAATCAGAACCATCCAAAGAACACAAGGACAATAAAGATGCAGACGTGGCAGATAGACGAATTCTTTATTCGCAAGATATTTCTGGACTCCCGCAGAGACCACGGCTGTTGCAAAACGCGTTGCCAGTAGAATGCGTTGTGTGCACCGATTGTCCAAATGTTAACGATGACACTCCATCAAAGCTATGCCCTTACAGTCTCGATCCAAGTAAAAGGGGAAAATGTGTGACGTACGCGGAACAATATAAACGTAAGTTTTTTTTCTTATGTAATAGAAGGCAAACGGGCAGGAGGCTCACCTGATGTTAATGATACCGCCGCCCATGGACACTCAGACTGCCAGAAGGCTCGCAAGTGCGTTGTCGGCCTTTCAAGAATTTGTACGCTCTTTTCAAGTTCAAGTTTTATAGAAAAATGTATTATACGAACTAAGTCTTTTAATATGGATGAGTTAAAATTGTTAGTCATAATTAAAATGTGAAGAATATGCCACCATATTCCTGTAGTATTTCCTACCCAATTCGGGTCTTACTTAGGGTCCTTCAAGAAAAGGGCGTACCAATTCTTTAAAAGCGGGCAAAGCGAGCCTGGCATTGTGAGTATCCATGGGCGGTATTATTTAAAATCAGGTATATGTAATTTCGAGGATCGAGAAGAAGCGTCTACCGATTCACCATCAAGACGAGAATCTTTGGTTGATAAAATATAGACCTGACAAACCTACCTTCCCTTTGCCGCGTTTGGGTAAAACACTCTATTAGAGCATTTAGTATTGTAACCCGAAAAGAATAGAAGATATTTCATGTTCATCTTTTCGTACTTTTATCTATACTGTAACGGTTTTAAACTTATAAAAATCCTTTATAGTATGCATTTTTTTACTTCCTACCTGGTTATTTCATTGCTTACTTTATCAATTACTTAATTATCTTTCTTTTATTCAGATATGCAAAGACCCTGGTACATCCGAGGCTGTGCATCTGAACGAGGCTCCTGTGACGACATAAAAAGGGCTCACGAAAGCTTCGGTGACATGGTCACCCTTCTCTCTTGCAATGAGTGTGAGGGAGATAGATGTAACCGAAACGGAGCAGCCACATTTGCGGACTATACTATAGCGTTTATCACGCTTATAGTAACCCCATTTATTTCTAAGGCTACTTTATCCTAAACGACCAACAAGGCTTTAATTAGAGGCAAAAAAGATGACTGCTCTATTACAAAACAATATCAATATATATTGACTTACTAATAAGATCTAAGACTTACAATATTGGATATAAATAATATTGTATAGATAATATTGTATAGAACTTTTATGTCTCTAATCAATATAAATAAATGTAGCCTTACAAGCGACGAAGACAAAGCTTCGAACAAATGTTAGTATTGAGTAATTATTATTTAAGAGCCTGGTAATGTCTCAATGTTAGTAAAACGATTTCCTACAACTACGTTCTTATTTTAAACAATCAATGTGAATTACATCCACACAATATCAGATTTCATACATTCACATTACTAGTGCTCATTGTATCTTCATATATCGGACTCTTTCTCATCTGATCCTGCACGTGGACTGTTAGCAAGACTTTCTTTCTTTCATTCTTACTTTAAATTCTTGTGAATTGGACTAGCGTATTTTTTTAAATATCTGAACCAAAAAGTTTGCATTTCATTGACTGCTTAAACCCTTGTAACAGGCACATCCCTTACTCGCTGACAAACCAAGTAATACTCCGCAAGGAAATTATATAAATATTTTCTTTAATGCGCACAATTGTAATAACACCTCTAAACGGATGCCTCATCATTAATACATTGGCGTTTTTTATTAATATTACAGTAGTCTAACAATTAATTCAAACAGAAATCAAATAGACCAAAAGCATCTTAGTCATTGCTAAAGAGTAAAGACTACCTTGATTAATGAGTCAGTCTTTAACTAAAACATATAAAATAAAAAATAAAAATAAAATATGTTTATTATGGAACATAAGATACATGTATCACTTATACCACGTCATTACATTTGAATTTGTAGGCATCCCTACTCATCGGCAAAGGAGACAGAGGGTGTAGGCCGAGAGAAAAAGATGGCGTAAAAAACTCTCGGTACTCTTTTAAAATAGCAAATCATCAAACAACACTTATTTTAAAACAAATATCGCAAATTAATTAGAAGTAGCCTGTCTAGGACTAGTCCCAGGCCTTTTTATCAACTAGATAATCGTATATACGTAGCTATATCAGACAAGAACATGCACACGGAATACTAAAATAAACAGTTCTCAAAATAATTTTAACATTATTCCCAATAAAAAATATTGCATTGCACCACTGATAAAGCAAAGGCTCAAAACTTATTCATAAAATTTTGAATTAAGAATTGTTTAAGATTGATAATCTGTATTTCAACACATTCACTTTAGAAAATAATTTCAATATTATTAGTTGTAATGATACATACCTCAACTTTAAACATCCGTTACGTTAATTTTAGTTAACTGTAATATAGACATGTGTACTTTAGCTTACACACATGTCTTACAAAAACAAAGCATGGTTTGTCTTAAGCCGAATCTTACTTCATATCATAAGGAATGTATGTATTTATCTCCACTTAGCCGTCGCAATTTTAGACCAATATTGATGAATTGGTATTAATGCAACGTTTAGAAAGCTTCGAGAATTTTTATACTAGACGAGTGATGCTAGTAAACATATAACATTACGGAAATGGATAAAATCAACTAGGAGACGAAACAATTTAATAATTGATTGTCCTTGGAGAAACTACGAAACACCTTCGGCAACCGTAACATATAAATATAAAGACATATAATTGCAGCAGGAAAAAATGCAAGAGTAAATATTTAAAGAAATCCGGGGGATTAAAATTTTATTTCAATATGGGAGATCAGAAATGACCTCAAAGAATGCGGTAATGCTATACGTCTTCCAACCAGGAAATCTCGGAAACATTTTCGGTCAAAATTAGGCTAAGGATTTGGGTGATAAAATCCATAAAAATGGAACGTTGGCAACACGCAATGTTGCGCATAATTTAATTAAGGCCAATGACCTGAGGGAGTCTCGATATTTTACTATCTTTATCCTACGGCATGTATATAGCGTTAACGCTAAACCGCTAAGTCGGCATTCAAGACTTTTGGGACATATAGATGTGCAAAGAAACAAGTTTGTGGTATTTCAATTTTAGGCAGAAAAGTTGGTCGCAAAGGTCGTTTTTTAAATATTCTATTTTCAAATTCTATATTTTTATGATGTAAACTCTTACAGTATTTCCAACCAATAAAATTAATTATTCAAATATTATTACTACTTACGTTTTGAAATGTTGTATGCTAACATGACGTAGCTGATTGTGCAGTTCTTTGTATTCTTCTATTAACTATCTATAAAGTAGGTTTTAATGTATTAAGAATTTACTGATACCATACAAATGTCTTAACAACTTTTAAAAATTTAAAGAATTCAAACATTGTATTATCAAGAATAAGTAAGCATTATAATAAAGCGAAATACGCTTTCCCGCCAAAACTTATTTTGCTTTTTGCCGTATGGTTGCCACAGGTTAAAATATTTTCTTATCATAAACAATAAAAGGAGGTGGTATATATATATATTATGTGCAAATCTTGTTGCAATAAATGCTTTCCCGCGCTAGAACTGTCAGTTGCCCACAGATTAAAAATATTTTCTTGTCATTTAATAAGGCGAGTCGTGAACAGTCCGAGGTCGAACACAAGCGATTGTATTCTGTATTCCGCTGACTACGATCGAGTTCGGACGAACGTTGTATCTTTAATAACGTGTGACCGTGTTTATTTGTGCAATTTTAAAATAATCATAATGGCAAAAGTTGCAGTATTTGTGCCCGTGTTGTTATTCGCTTTATTCTTCAAAGACAGTAAGTATTTTGAATATTTTTCGTGTTAAGGATTTATTTTACAAGCCTGTTGATTCAATTGTTATGTGTAGTTGTAGGTACTTTTGGCGTAACAAAATTGGCAATATAATATTAAATTAAAATAGCTTTGTAAAGGTAAATAATGCATGGGTTGTAAACTATACAAGTTTTTACCGCTGAATGGGACTTATTTACCTCGTTAGTAAATTTTTACGGTCCGATTGGTCAAGTAGGCTTGTGCACGGCTTAATTAAATGCAAACGCATTTTTAAACCGGTACAACTTGTTTAGAAACGTGCAAAACAACACAACACTGGAGGTATAGTGTATACTCGCTTGCTTTTTTTTTTAATCCACGGTTTTTGGCACTTTATATCCAAGTATTTAACAGTAGGTATTATTGTTTGACCATTTAATTAATAGGTACCAATCATAACCGATATTAATAGTAAATGATAGAAATTTTAATACCATCTACTAAAGCTTATAAAATCACGATATGGTTGGTGGAAATATATCTATATCTGCTGTCATTCTTTAATAAAAAATAATTTATCCTATACGCTAAGATTTTGTTAGTTGTAACGATTACCTATATCAAGTATATATTTACAGATTACATAGTCGTTGAGGCTCAATCTATGATAATTTTCCTGACATAAAATCTGTGGGATTATATTACCATAACCTACACGCGATTTATCAATTTATCCTTATCAAGACAAATGTTTTCAATTATGTTAATGCACATGCACTCAGTCACAGATTGCAATGATCCTGATTACAATTTACAGATATTCGTTTTGAATATAAAAATCTCTAGTCTATGCTTCCAACACATTGAAGGTTACACACCTTCAATTTTGGGCATTCTCTATTCTTAATTTAAAACTCTTATATTAAAAACAATTTAGTAAGCTGCGTCACTAGGTATTAATAATCGCAACAGATTTTATTAATTAAATCATAATTACACTTGACTCATACCAATCATTAAATAATACTTATCCTTAATTTGATAGTCAAAGGTCTTCGGAGAATTAAGAAATATAAAAGGGCATAGATAATTGCATAATAAACCAATAAGTATATACGTAGTTGGTCCCAAAGTTCTGTCACTAGCACATTATTTCTACATTTCGCGCAGGATTTTATAAAAAAATTATTGCATTCTATTTTGGAATGTTTGATTATTGTTTTAAAACAAAAAACAATAACTTTCCGTAATTTTTCACGATGGAGTGGACATTGAAAGTAAACCGAATAGTTGTTATTGCGTTGCACCGCTGTGGACACTCGCCGAGTACCATTTTCAAGTTGCTCAAAAATTTGAATATAACGCTTAGGTTTGTGTACGGTACTATTGATAGGTACCTTGAAGTCTCCAGTGTTGAGGACAAGAAAAGAACTGGCTGGCCACGCTCCGCAAGAACACCAGCAGTAATCAAAGCTATCAAGGCGCGGATAGTAATAAATCCTGTCCGAAAACAGAAGTTGATGGATTTGCAGATGGGTGTCAGTAGGAAAACAGTAAAAAAGGTTTTAAATGAAGATCTTGGTCTACGAGCATACAAAAAAGAGTGGGCACTTACTTAATGCTCGTCTAAAAGCAATAAGGCTTAAGAGATCGCGGGTGTTGTTTAAGCGGTACGCGAAAAACCGACACCGTGATATCCTCTTTACGGACGAAAAATTTTTCGATATTGAAGAGAAGTACAATAAACAGAATTATACAGTGTACGCTAGGAGTTCTGAAGAAGCTGAAAATAAAGTTCCAAGGGTGCAACATGGACATCATCCATCATCAGTAATGGTTTGGTTGGGAGTGTCCTATTACGGGCTAACTGAGGTTAATTTTTTTCGAAAAGGGGGTCAAAACCAGTGCTACAGTGTACCAAGAGACGGTTTTGTATCACCTTGTCAAAGACACGTCCAGCACCCTATTTGCGGGACATCACTTCGTGTTCCAGCAGGACTCTGCGTCTGCATACAAAGCCAAGACCACTAAAGCCTGGTTTGAGCGTCAAAACATCGTCTTAATTAGACATGAGGATTGGCCTTCCTCCAGTCCGGACCTTAATCCTTTGGACCAGAAATTATGACAGGGCTTAGAGAGGAAGGTCTGTGATAAACCTCATGAAAATTTGGAGAATCTGAAGTCATCTTTAAAAAAACCAGTGACTGAAATCGACACGAATATGGTGCGTGCTGCGATAGACGACTGGCCGCGACGCTTA